AACACCTCACCATAAACCAATAACCTTGGGCACTAGAGCATGCCCTGAAGAGCCATGTCTATACGTTTCTTAAATCCCTCCAGGGATGGTGACTCCACCACCTCCCTGGGCAGGCTGTTCCAGGGCCTGACCACTCTCTCAGTAAAGTAATTCTTTCTAATATCTAATCTAAATCTCCCCTGCCCCAACTTCAGACCATTTCCTCTGGTCTTGTCGTTCGTCCTTTGGGAGAAGAGGCCAACACCTGCCTCTCTACACCCTCCTTTCAGGGAGTTGTAGAGGGCAATGAGGTCTCCCCTCAGCCTCCTCTTCTCCAAACTAAACAAAACTAAACATGTCCAGTTCCCTCAGCCTCTCCTCATAGGACTTGTTCTCCAGGCCCCTCCCCAGCTTGGTGGCTCTCCTCTGGACACGCTCCAGCACCTCAATGTCCTTCCTGTAGTGAGGGGCCCAAAACTGAACACAGTACTTGAGGTGAGGCCTCGATCTCCAGGCTCGAACCCACCAGACTGGCTGTGTGGATGAGTGTTGAGGACAAGAAGCAGCTTCTCCAGCCACCTCTCCCCTCCAACAAACCACCTACTTCCACTAGGTGGGGATACAAGTGTATGTACCGGGTGCTCAGAGCTGCACAAACCCTGTCCAGCCTTCTCCCAGCCATGGCAAGGAGCACAGCAGAGCAGAGCAGGTCTCAGCACAGATACTGCCCCAGCACGACCTGCTGCAGCTGAGGGGAGGATCAACACCCACTTGAAAAGATCCCCAGATGCTCTGGTCTGGTTTTCCCTTTGTTCCATCAGGAGGATGGTTGGGAAAACTCATGGAGGGGGGAAAATGCTGGAAGAGCACTTACACTGTGTCAGTGTTACGAAGACAGAGCATTAATCTATACCCAAGACAAAGAATTTCAATTCTAACCTGGCATGTGGAGGAAGCTCAAAGCGTTTTCCATCCCTGTGTCTGTAAAAACCTGGTTTCGTAAAGAAAGCTCAATTTTCTCTTTGTCCAGTTCCAAAGCCAGTCACAAGAGGGTTTCAGAGTGAAAAATCATTTCCTTTCACTCTGGAGCCAGCCTCAAGGAATACTACCCCTACTTTCCTTCCAGTTCCTTTCCTCTTCCCTACCTTTTATCACCTCTGTGAAGGCTGCTGAAGATGACCTTCAGGCTGCCCGCTCCTGATCCGCACTGGACAGGCAACTCCTGGGTGACTGTCACCCTGTTGAGGCTCCCATCAAGCTCTACTCCCCCACTTCTCTCCTGTTCAACTCCTCCCCCCTTACTGGCCTATCCCAACAGTCTGTCTGCTCCCCCTCTGCCCAGTCCACCCAGCAAACCAGACAGGTCTCTTCCTACTTCTTCTAAGCTCCAAATGTCCTCCTGGGGCTCGGGCCTGCTGCCACAAGGAAGCAGAATCCAAAGTGATAAAACTTACTGTTCTCTTGACAAGTGTGAGAGTATGTCAGAGCCCTCTGCTCTGGGCTCAACACTCCCATCCTGACTCTGGTTTCACTGGTTTTACTGGGTATCTGGGAAGAGCTGGGAGCCAGCCCTAGGTCTGTGAAGGGTTGAGGTCTTACCAGGTCTGCTTCATGAGGATTTTGAAGCCATCTGGGCACGTGGAAGGGACAGGAAGGTGCAGGCTGTTACTGCCCACTCCCCAGATGATGGCCGAAGAGTCCACATCCTTGTAGGGAATCTCTCCTGTAAGCAGCTCCCACAAAACTACCCCAAACGACCTGACAAAGAAATAAACCGGGAGAAAATCTTCTCTGTGAATTCAATTTAACAGAAACATCTGAAGCTTAGGGAAAGAAATAAAAATAAATCACTGTTTTTGTCAGGTATGTCTGATCTGAAATTGCAAGTAGGTGCAAGAGTGTTTACACAGTAGTTTTTAACCAATAATAGCTATTTCTTACACGAGGTAACTCTTCCTCCTCTGCCCCAGCACTGGGCTCAACGCCAGGCCATGCTGGTTTTCACCCACCCTTTGCTGTCTCTTTGTGAGATTTTAAAAATCCTGAAAGCACCTTAGAAGTTTTTCTGTACAGATGAAATCTTACTCCTGTTAAATGAAGAGGAAAGAGCTTTCCTGAGATAGTAGATGACCTGTTCTTACCCACAGCAACAATAAAAAGTCCACAGGACAGACAGAACCGGTAAGTCTTGGACACAACAGAACAAAGAATGTGTTTTAGGGGCATTTTTTTACATTTCATTTAATAATTTTTTTCTCTAGCCCAAAGCTCCCTCTGCTGTTACATGCACTCCCAGGTAAGGGTGTCAGAGGTTTGAGACTCGTCTCTACAGCTACTGCAATGCAGAAATAAAGAAACAAATGCAACAGGCATAAGTGTCAGTATCAAAAGCACATGTTGTCTCATCTGGTATTTCTTCTGTGCTGAAGAAAGGAAGGCAAAGGAAAGAAAAAAGTTAATTAAGTGAACTTCGCCTGGAAAAGAAACTCCTATTACTTCTTGGAGAAGAGAAGGCTGATGGGGGATCTGATTAATGCTTATAAATACTTCAAGGGTGGGTGTCAGGAGGATGGGGCCGGTCTTTTTTCAGTGGTGCCCAGTGATAGGACAAGAAATGGGCACAAACTTGAACATAGGAAGTTCCATCTAAATATGAGGAGGAACTTCTTTCCTGTGAGGGTGGCAGAGCCCTGGCAGAGGCTGCCCAGGGAGGTGGTAGAGTCTCCTTCTCTGGAGACATTCAAACCCACCTGGACACGTTCCTGTGGGACCTGCTCTGGGTGGCCCTGCTCTGGCAGGGGGTTGGACTGGATGATCTCCAGAGGTCCCTCCCAACCTCATATCATTCTGTAGTTCTATGATTACAAGAACTGAAAGATACAGGTAAGAAAACTCACTTTGCTTCTCCTTCCTTAGCGAAACGATGAGTAAGGACCAAAACCTTAACTTGTAACAGCAAACAGTTATTTGTTCTATTCACAATCTTCCCCCAATAAAACCCCAAAGAAATAACAAACCAGTCCATACAGAGGTAACCAAACTGCTGCTGAGAACCAACACCACTTATTACACACTAACAACCAGGCAGAGGTACAACCATCTCAATTTCAAACCCAGACATATCACCTTTCTTGCAGGCCCCATCCGTCGGTGTGACACCGACCCTGCCAAGCCTCCTGGCCAGGCAACCCAGGTGAAAAGGGAGAAGTGTCTTTCTGGCTTGTACTGGTATTATCAAGTTGCTTTTATTAAGTACAGAAGACTGTCTAAGGGCCAAAAAACCACTTGGGTCTGAGCAACCATCAGTCAGGAAAAAAAAACTTCACGTGAAAAAAAATGTTGCACTTTCAAAACCCACTGGCTTCAAATCGTTGGAGGGAAGAAAGAAAGAAAAAAATTTAAAAAAAAGCAGCATTCAAACATTTTTTCTCTCGAAATTTTTTTGCCTCGAAATTTTCTTCCGTGGGCTGCAGGAAAGCAGGGATCCAGGTGGTTGGACAAACTACCAGGAAATCCCATCTGGTTTCAGCTTTGTTATGATTAAGAGCTGACAAAGGATTTTCAAGACTCCTGATAAGATTATAGACTGGTTTTTTTTTTTAGCATGCTGTTAAAGATGAGAGAGAGCAGACACATAAGCTGCTTAGGAACTGCTCTCATTTGTTGTCAGCACTTGTGAACACTGCTTTTACTCATCTTGGGGGAGGAATGGATGTTGAGGAGGAGTTTGAGCAACCACCACTGCAGTGACTGAAGAGGAATGTGCTCCAAAGGCATCTGCAGGTTGGAACCACAGAGCAACTCCTCTTGTCCCTGAGGAAAGGAGTAAAGGAGTGTCCACAGCCCTCAGCAGAGCTGGCAGCTGGTTTTTATTGGAGATGATGCCCCACACAATACTCCTGAGCCTAAGCCACTCTAAAGGAGAGAAAGCTGAGGGTGGAAATCCAGCACCATCCCTCCTCATGAACCTGTGATTCCAAGGGAGGAGCTCAGGAGACAAATGGCAAGAGCGTTTTCCTTCCAAAACAACGCAAGAGTTTCTCCCAGAAGAGCTCTGTGGCTGTGCTACAGCCTGCTACAGCCACACAAAATAACCACACACACCACTGCAGGCACAAGAGCAGCTGCAGACCACACCATACGAGACTTTCCCTTTCTCTACAGGAAATCTTCCCTTAAAGCCATGACCCAGCTGGGAGCTAAAGCAGGAACAGCAGGCTGCTGTCTGACTCCAATCACACCACCAACCACCCGCAGCTTGGGCCTGCAGCTTTGGGCTGTGGAAGGAAGGTGACAGCATTTGAAGCTGAAAAACCACACCAAGAAAAATTCATCCTGGCTGTAGAGCAGGGAGAAGGGGATTTTTGTCCTGGCTCCTGACATGGGCCAACGGAATCCTGGGCTGCGTAGGGAAGAGTGTGGCCAGCAGGTCAAGGGAGGTCATTCTGCCCCTCTGCTCTGCACTGGGGAGGCCACAACTGGAATCCTGTGTCCAGTTCTGGGCTCCCCAGTTCAAGAGGGACAGGGAACTGCTGGAAAGAGTCCAGCAAAGGGCTACAAAGATGATTCAAGGACTGGAACGTCTCCCTGATGAGGAGAGGCTGAGAGAGCTGGGACTCTTTAGTCTGGAGAAGAGAAGGCTGAGGGGAGACCTTATTCATGCCTACAAGTATCTCAAGGGCGGGCTGAGGGAGGAGGGAACCAGACTCTTTTCAGTGGTTGCCAGTGAGAGGACGAGGGGCAATGGGCACAAGTTGGAACATAAAGGGGTCCACTTGAATATGAGGAAGAACTTCTTCACGGTGAGGGTGACAGAGCCCTGGAACAGGCTGCCCAGGGAGGGTGTGTGTCCCCTTCTTTGGAGATTTTCAAGACCCGCCTGGATGCTCCTGAGTAACATGCTCTGACAAGCTCTGGGTGGTCCTGCTTCAGCAGGGGAGTTGGGCTAGATGATCTCTATGGTCCCTTCCAACTCTAAAAATTCAGTGAAATTCAGTGAAATTTAGTATGCAGAAATAACAGGGCAGAAAGAGAGATGCAGTTCCCTTCAAGACCCTGAAGCCTGTGGAGAGGCATCCCAAAGGAGCTCCGAGGCTGAGCCATCTCCCTTGTGTTCCTTTGGACACAGAGTACCTTTCACATGAGATGGAAATGGGTGTTCAAAACGCTTACGATGTACCCTGGTTTCCTCCCTCTTGGATCTGGGGTTAAATTCACTGGTCTATAGTCCCATGGCTGTACATGTAACAGCCAAGTCCAGTAAGCAGAGAGCAAAAGCTGGTCAGACCCTTCCATCCAGCACAGTGGAGACCTCTCTACAGCTCAAGCAAGGCCCTGAGGAACACAGAAAGCAAGTAGAAAATACCCTGGCTGCAGAAGTTGCTGAGGGGGGCCCTGAGGACCAGGAATGGAAGAAAGCTCTGGCCTAAATAATGACACAGGGAAGAAGAACTGCTTGATTTGGCAGGGGAGTTGGACTAGATGACCTCTAGGAAGATCCCATCCAACTCCAACAATTGCATGATTTGCTTACTGCAAGACACAGACAGTCTGCACCAAGTCTCATGAGGTACCTTCAAATCACAACACACAGCTTTTACACACGTGTCATTTCTCTCTCCATTACAGTTCATAACAAATTCAGGGCACCAGGCAGGTGGAGCAAGGAATAGTCCACCACAGAGCAAACTATCCCCATGCCTAGAATGAGAAAAGAGTGCTGAATATGTAAAGTGTTGGGAAACCCAGTGGCTAAAAGAGAAGGTGAAGATATTTAACCCTTAGTACTACTCACCAGATATCCACCTTTTCGGAGACGGGCTCGTTGCGTATCACCTCCGGGGCCATCCAAGCCACAGTTCCAGCAAAAGACATCTTGGTACTTTTATCACTGAGTTCTTTCGACGTCCCAAAATCTGAAATTTTTACTGCATCTGTGTGTGTAACTAAAACACTGGAGAGAAAAAAAAAAAAAAGAAAGAAAAAGAAATCAGCAATCAACATTTTGCAGTTTTTTCTTGTACCACGACAGCCACTGGGAGTAAATCCCTTCTTAATCAACACAAATGGTTGTGCTGTTCACAATTGTAGTACAAGAAAAAAAGATGATGCATTTTCACTGACAAAAGCACTCACTGTCTTTGGGGTGGTTGTGTTTTGTGCCTCAAATGCATTTCTAGATGCAACAAGTCAAAGATTAAATTGCAAATTCACAAGTCGCTAAAGATTCACTATATCTGGGAGTGTTTCAAAATTTTAATAAAGCTGTATTTTAAACTGTGCTGTAAATCATCTAAAAGTGTTATCTTAATGCACTGTCACAGTCACGTCACAGGCTAAAGAAGTGACAAACATCTAGGGAATAAGAATATAAGCAGTCAGATAGTTTTGGTCAGAAAGCAGCAGAGAAATGAGAAAGATGCATTCCAGAAAAACGGGGGAATAACAAAAGAACAAACAAGGAGGAAAAATGAAAAAGCAGAAGGCAACAGAATATCCCGTTTTCAAAAAGGACCAGGCATCATAAAATCATTAGAAATATTTCCTGATTGCTATTTATCATGTAAGACACTGGGAGAATTTCCAGTCTTCTTACATTGCAGCACAGCAGGGGATGCCAACAAGTTGCATTAGCTTCACTCTCATTAGTTTTGAGTCAAAGTATTAAAAAAAAAAAGGGATTTTGACCTAGCTTTAAACTATTCCTCAAGAAAACAACAAGACAACCCCAAGTGGAGGATGTTTCATTGGCTAGAGACTCACTTTGGTGACTTGAGGTCTCGATGGATGATTTTGTGAAGGTGCAGATAATTCATCCCGCTGGCGATCCCCGTGGACCAGTCCACAAGCAGCCGAGGGGTGACCTTCCGCCCCGCTCGCAGGACCTCGTAGAGCTGCCCGTGTGCGCAGTACTCCATGATGATGCAGTAGCACGGGGCCTGAGTGCAAACTCCCCTGGCAAAGAAAGAAAACACACAGCTGGTGAGGATCAGGAGAGTCAAAATCCCAGAGCAGCTCTCCAAGGTGGCAATGGAGGGGTGGCAGATTAGCCTGGGCCAGCCTCTGCTAATAACGCCTTAATGAACAGGAGGAACCTCACTGGTGATTGGGATGGGTTTCCATCAACTTCCACAGATTTGTAGGGTTCACTACGGGCATTTTGTGACCCCACAGGTCACAGCACTGGGTGGGAATGGCATCCAAGCTTCTCAGCCTTTTGGCTAAGATCAAGTGTAGTATCTGTTCTTATCAGTTTAATATCTGATACGTCCTCGATGAGAGGACTTTATATTAAACAGATTTTTCGGTTCGGGATTTAAATTTTTTTTTTCCAGAGGAGAGCCACCAAGCTGGTGAGGGGCCTGGAGAACAAGTCCTATGAGGAGAGGCTGAGGGAACTGAGCATGTTTAGTTTGGAGAAGAGGAGGCTGAGGGGAGACCTCATTGCCCTCTACAACTCCCTGAAAGGAGGGTGTAGAGAGGCAGGTGTTGGCCTCTTCTCCCAAAGGACGAACGACAAGACCAGAGGAAATGGTCTGAAGTTGGGGCAGGGGAAGTTTAGATTAGATATTAGAAAGAACTACTTTCCTGAGAGAGTGGTCAGGCCCTGGAACAGCCTGCCCAGGGAGGTGGTGGAGTCACCATCCCTGGAGGGATTTAAGAAACGTATAGACATGGCTCTTCAGGGCATGCTCTAGTGCCCAAGGTTATTGGTTTATGGTGAGGTGTTGAGTGTGGGGGGTAGTTGGGGGGGGCAGTGTTTTTGGTGGGCGTTTGGTGGGGGGTGTTTTGTATTTGTTTGGTGGGTTTTTTTGTGGGTTTTTTTTGTGGTTGGACTCGATGATCTCAGAGGTCCCTTCCAACCACTAAGATTCTGTGATTCTTACAGTAACCAGTCAAACTCCCTACCTGTGACTGGGAGGCAGTAACGCTCTCAGCTGTAGCACTGGGATATATTTAAGCCCATGTGACAATGACATTTGCAAAGTCAACCTTCTGGCTTTTAGATTAAACACGGTATATTTTAGGATGTGATTATCCAAGAGGCATGAATACTTGGCTGTATTTGATTTGGAGGAGGAAATTTTGTTACGAGCAAGGTGTATGGGATCTCATTTTCCCTTGGGAAGTGATTAGGGAGGTTCTGGATTTCAGCTTTGTCTTTCTTCCAAGACTACCCTGTTTCCTTGAGCCTTATTTTAATTCGTGAAAATTATATCTGTTTAGGAGTCCTGAAAATATTTGTTCAGCCATCTTAAAATTTGTCTTATTCTTTCCCTGCTTTTACTCGCTTTTTTTCCTTAGTTGTGTGTTTTCAGCAGGACTTTGTGCAGTAAGAATTAGGGCTGCTCTTTGACGTTTGGGAGACGGCGAAGCATCATGAGCCCAGACTCTGGCACGTGGCCACTGCTCATCTTTGAAAGGCAGCAAGAGACTTTTAGGCCTTTTAGTAAAGGGGTCCAAGGAGTGTTTTTCACAAGCAATGTGATGGTTTTGACCAACATTTTCCCCTTCATTTGCCCTCTCCCCCCATGAATGGTCACCTTCTTTGCTTTTCACCATCTCCTGTATCTTGCTTGAACCTTTCCTGGCAGGGGACTCCCAGAGCCCATCCGTCCACCGGGTGTCAGAGGGAGCCACGGCCAAATCCCTCTTTTTGTCCCCTTTAAAGATAAATCCCCGTGACTTTTTAAATCTCTCTCTACATATTGCAGTACAAGTAATTCTGGAGGAAGCCATATGGGATAATCTGAACGGAGAAGCAAATGTGGGTAAGGCCGCTTGGCTGAACCGCGCGGCATAATTTGGTGTGAAGGGCAGAAGTCACCAAGGAGTGACTGAGGGGAGACGGCGAGGGGTGATTAATGCCTCATTTGGTGCAGCATCAGGTACGTAGCAAATACAACTCTGTTCCATTAACCACATCTGCCAAGCCTTAATTGAAAGAAATCATGTTCTTAGTATCTGAAATAGGAAAGGGTTTAATGCTTGAATTCTTTTTGATCTTTAAATGGAACAGTAAAGGATTTATGCAGCTAAAGAGATTATCTTCTCATCTTTAGGCACACGCATTGTAAAAGTATTTTATTTTTTTTTTTCCCCTCCTCTTAAATGCGCTGAAGTGAACCTGGTTGGTACATCTCTGAACGTGGAGTGACTGTGCTCAGGACAAAGTGGTGACAGTCTGTCTTACTGAATTCTCAATGTGATTCTTTTAAAGCTTTTTACCTTAATGTATTTATAAAAAGAAAACGCCAAGCTTTTCTTAGGCAACTAGGCTTTTCCACAACCTTTTTTAAAATGTTGTTTTCGAGATCTCTTGCAGAAGTTGTGGTAGCGATTGTCTCAAGCGACTGATAAAAAGATGATTTTGGTAAATTAAGTCACAGAATAGAGGTTTCTTCCTTGCTGTTAGAATTCATTGCAGACCATCTCGGGTCTGTGTAGACTGTTACAAATAACAGCTTTAAAGTAACTGCCAGCGAGATCTCCCCTTGCGTAATGGGAGAAGGTTGGTTCCTCTGGGTGGAGAGACTTGGAAGTCTGAGGAAGCAAAGGTACGCTTTACTTTCATTAGAATGAAATTCTCCGTCATGAAATGTACTCATTTTGATATCTGTATCTCATTAATCTCAGGCTCTTGATGATGCTTAATTTGTGGGCCTGGTCATTTGTCATGTGGTTGAACACTACCAGGTGCATAAAGTCACAGCGAGCAGCTCTCGGTCAAGTTCTAAGACTTCCGTTATTAAAATGCTTCTGATGGAAGCCGATACCAATGGCATTTTTCCACACAGAAAGTGACGTGGCTTTGGTGAACGTCACTGATTCTGGTAGTGACACAAATACTACAAAGTGAAATAGGCTTCACAGTCATTTAAGTGGTTGTGACCCACAGTCTGGATGCGATGTTCGTTATCCAAACTCCGGGGTGATTTCCAGGTAGCAGAGGAGAGCGTTTATGCTGGTGTAGGAGTGAATTTGTGAACTCACCAATACTCTGTTCTGTAGTGAGCAC